CGAAGTTTGATAGGAGTTGATTGAGAAACCCCAGGGAATTGGGGATTGCAGAGATCCTAGAAACTCCCAGGAATTCTAGAAAAAATGAAAGTGTTGACCAGCTTTTCAGCTACAGTCAGGGACAACATAGGACGTGGTCTAGCAATATTTCCAAGATGGAAGAAAGATGTTTTTACATTTTACACTATTTGCACATGTGGGTCAAACGTTAAGTCTGCACCAAATATCATCCCCAGGTTCTTCAGTTTAGATTGAAATTCAAGTGCAATGCCATCCACAGTTAGGGTTACTGCACTGGCTTTACATCGTTGATGTGACTTAGTCTCGTCGCAGTTTAGATGAAGGAGATTTTGAGTGCTCCCAGGTTTTTATGCCAGATGCAGATACAATTAGAGAGAGCAGAGACAGCCACATCAGTCAGGTTTAAAATGGATGTAGATTTACATATCATCAGCATAGAAGTGATACTTCAGACCACGTGATCTTAATAGCTGACCAAGTGGGATCATGTAAATGGTGAAGAGTAGGGACCCAGTATCGAGCCCTGAGGAACTCCAGACTTCACAAAACCGGCTTCAGAACTCAAACCCCCAAGAGAGACAAAGTGTTGGTGATCATTAAGGTAGAAGGTGAACCATTTAAGAGCAGCATCAGAAATGTCAAATAGTCTTAAGACAAAAAAAAGTTCTGACCGGAGCAGAGTCTAAAACAGGTCTAGGAGATTAAGAATAGAAAGAGAACCAGAATCAGAATCCATAAGAAGATTAAAAGTGACTTTAACCAGGAAAGTTTCCATGATTTATAACTGCCGTCATATCGGGACAGACTCGTCTACACCTACTCTCTCTCAGTTTATTTGTCATATGAATCAGTGCAATCAAATGCTTATGAATCAGTGATACTCGATCGAATGTCCACAAGCACCTGTCAGTCTTAAATAATTGCTGAAAAGGTACAAAACGATCACGACAAAGACATACAGATGAGGAACAAAGAGCAACCCATGACCCCTCTCCGGTGCCATGTTAGATTACATCAACACATAGGACACACTCTCTACACTCGCAATGTGAACCTGCAGTATCAGGACGATCCAAGGACAGTCCTGCCTACAAGAACACTATCAGAGTGACCCAGCACTGGTGCAGGACACAAGCAAGCAGGCCTGCCCAGCCATTACGCTGAACCTACCTGACAGGTGTCCTTGCCTCCTGCCTCGTATCCGGCACACAGCATCTCTGGCAGGATGACGTAGTGATTCCTGAACATCCTCTGACAGTCCAGGCTGTCTATGACGGGGAGCCGGACTTCCTGGAGGGTCATGGGATCAGACAGAGAAGCTGCAAAGCAAGAACGATACATTGCAAGGGAGAAAGAGGAGTGTCTGACATCCCAGGACGCACCTCCACGTCTGATCTGATCACACGGAACGATCACACAGCACGCCCAGCATGGAATTGAAAACTGAAACTGAACACGGCACACAGGTCCTACCCTCGTTCCCCACGTTGCCCCAGCCTGTGGCCCAGCAGTCCCAGCTCTGGGTGATGTTGTCGGTGGTCTCGGCCAGGTTGACAGGCTTGACGTACTGGTTGATGGTGGCGGGCTTGTTCAGCTCAATCAGGGCGATGTCAGCACCTTCTTCGGCATCGTGGTAGCTCTCGTGTACGATGATCCGCTTCACTGAGTGAATTTGCTGGAACTCATTGGAATTCAGCACCTGAAAGTCTCCCAAAATGACTTTCGATTCCCACCATTTCAAGGGGCTGCAAATTAGAGTACAGAAAAAAATTGTTGCTGTGAGACCTGGACCACTAGTTGC